GGGGGGCGAGTGCCGAATGCACGAGGTTTCCAGGCGGGTATGGGGGAATGCTCCCAAAGAAAACTTTTAAAATTTGGATCCCTGAAATGGCATTTTCAGCATTCTGAGAGCACATTTTGTAAGAAATTTCAGGTTTTCAAAACATTAATTTAGTGGTGCATTTTGTTATAAAGACATTTCAGAGAAAATTATTTGTGAATGGAATTGCAAGTTGGTTTAACTCCCACGCAGAGCTCAATATAATTCTGAAAACTTGGTCTGAAATTGTGTCGGACCAACCCATGTTTTGGTCGGGCATGATCGAACGCTTAGTCACTTAATTATTCTCAATAGGGACATTGTCAGTTGTCAGTACTAGAAACCAAAACCGTAACAACTACCAAAAGTCCAAAACCATATGCATGCATACAGTATGCGTAATGGTTAACAAAATTACACAATACACGGAAAAAGATGAACAGGTTACACTCTTATCAACCAAGCACCATTGTGTACTATACTCTGTAGACTATTTAATAGCAGTATCCCAGTTTTAGGTAAGGATTAAATTACTGTAAGTTAGTGTCAGTCGCTCCCAGAGTCTGTAGAGTGGAGAATGATGAACAAAAATAAGCTAGATATACAAGCTAAAAGAAACTACAAAGTTACAAACCATCACAACAGAAATCTGTGTCGTGAATGACTTTTAAAGTTTGAAAAAGAACAATTTATCCTCGATTGCTCGAATAATCGAATTCAACTGTGCATCAAACCCGTTTGCGCTAGACTACAGTATAGCGGTAATATTATGATTTTGTCGTGCTTAATTTTTGCAATAATTTTCACTAAAATATCTTGAAAATCATTCTAAAACTTTTTTATATAAAGCATACAAAACATATACATCGACAATGATCCGCAAAACTCAAAGTTGTAAACAATTTGAACTTCGTGACTGCCGGCATGACATAAAACTGACATGTCAACTCTAGTTATTTTCAGCCTGGTCGCGTAATTTTGAAAACGGGTGTAATACTATACAAGATAAAAAGTGTCTCTCGTGTAAGGAAACATTTGTTTGGCGAAAGTAAGTGCGAAATTTCCTTTTTCGAATTGTCCAAATTTTAAAAATCACTTGAAATTCAGACTGATATAAATATTTTGTAATCTTGTTATTGAAGCAGTTATTAATAGACGCGGTTGTTTTAATAATTGACGAGATTACATAGTGTTATTAGACAGATTTAGATCGAGGACGTGGACGTCAAAGACGACGTGAAAATGGCGTCAAAATGGCGTGGCATATCCATACATGGGCACAACACGCCATTTTCACGTCGTCTTTGACGTCCGCGTCCTCGATCTAAATCTGTCTATTGTGTGGATCGGCACGAAGTCAGATTCTGTGAAGACGGAATCTTTGTTTGCATGTGTTAAAGATTACAGATTTTGTTAAAAAGATTTGCAACAATAAAGGAAGAAATATTCAAATTGATGACACAAAACGGTCGGCCATAATGTCCGTACAGAGTAATCAGTAGACGGCCATATCAGCATTTTGCTCGGCTAATGGCCGGTGGCCGACCGTTATATTGAGCCCTGCTCCCACGCATGGCAACTTCTAGAAGTTGACGACTTTGTATAATTATATCTTCGGTTATGAAGACAACAATAACACCATTCGACACAGTGAAACAATATCAACTAATTCCTCACGATAGTTTGTCATTGCCAACATTGTAGCGATTTATGGCGTTTGAAAGCCCCTTCGGACGTATCTTCTTTGCAATAGTCTTGTTCGAATCGCTATCTCTATATCCATTTCTGGTCCGACTGTGAGCTAATCCCAACCGGAAATATAATTTCAAAACGTCAAAATTGCGACGTTTCTATCGTATGACTCTGGAAATGCCAGAAATCGATTCTAAAGGCAAAAGTGCGCCTATACGCGTGATTTTTGACGTCATCCGGATACGGGAGCTTTCTTATTGGCCAGGTATAGCGCGTGGCACGCACGTTACATTTTTCAAATTGAAAGCTAGCTAAAATTATTGCCACCCCCCCCCCCCCTAGTTTCCGCCACTGTGCATGACGACAGCGAATTTGCAAACATTTCTTGCAAATATATTTCATTTTTCACTCAAAGAGTGAGCAAAGACGCCGACGTTAATGAAGGTAAGTTTGTTTCAAATATTGATGTATTGTTTGCTTTATAATTGCTTTAAAAATTGATTGTTGCATATAATGAAAAAATACAGCATACAATGTCAGCATATATTTATTACAAAATTTCGTGAAATTCTGCAATTTGGAACAATTCCACAAAATCGCACCAGCAGAGTGGAATCCCAGAATGCCTGAATAAAGAATCTTTCAGAAAGAATCTACAGTACCTGCATGCATACATGTATATATGAAATAAGAGAATTAGTTTGAACAAGAAATCAGAAATTCTTTGCAGAAAAGTTATCAACTCTGAAGGTTTACAGTTTATGGTTTATTCATTCTGTATGGTCGCCCCAAGTATGGTTGTCGATCTTTATCTGCTTTTATCATCTCTTCATCAAGAAACAAATTTTCAAAACTAAATCCCTCCTAAAACAGCAAGCTAGTTGCTGTATGTGTTATAAATTATACAAACTTTTAGCCACTTCAATCTGTAATATCATTTAGTGAAAAACATTTTACTAGAGCTGCTCTAGCCTGCGTGGCAGGCCCTCAATTTTATGGGGGGCCTGATTTGCAGTGGGCAGGATTTTGGCGGGCACGGGGGAGGATTGAGGGCCTGCAGGAAAGCCCACCTTTCATGACTACACGCCGTTCAGATTCTGAGCGGTGAATACGATCACCTGATTGGTCAATACCAAGACAGTGACTAATCTTGAACTGTTGAACATCGTGGCTATTTTTTCTTGTTCAGCAGCGATACAAAAGATGATCTCACTGGCCAGTCGTCAGGAAATAGCACAGGATACTGCAAACAATTAACATGCATGAATGTAAATACTGATTCTGATAATGTACTATATAAAAGTAAGCTCAACATCGACGGTTTGAAAACGTGTGAAGGGCGTTCGTCACTGGGTGGTCAAACACTGCATTTGCGACTGCAGTCCAGCCACCACCACCAACAACAACAACAACAACAACAACAACAACAACAACAACAACAAGATTTCTAATTGTTTGGACTGTCTTTTCGTTTGTAGGGTTTCGCGTCACAATATTCCCATTCGGATGAAATAAAAAGCACGTTTAATGATTTAAGTGACGAACGCCCTTCTGGCCTTCACACGTTTTCAAACCGTCGATGTTGAGCTTACTTAGTACATCGTCAGAATCAGTATTTACATCCACGTTGTCTGCAGTTTTTTGTGCTATTTCTTGATGACTGGCCAGTGAGATCATCTTTTGTATCGCTGCTGAACAAGCATTTTTTACGCGCAGATTCTGATTCAGTTCTGGACATACTACCTGGAGAACATCGCGGAGAACAAACGCGATATGATTCAGTTTCATTGGTTGAATGGACTAGCGCCACGGTCAGCGGGTCAGGAGTTAACAGTTTACGCTTTCCTGATGTTTCTACATATTTGCGCTGGTAATGGTGTTGAAACTTTTCGTGTAGTGTGTTAACTTAAGATTTTAATTCCGTTACAAGCTCATGCACTTTTAGAATTTTTCTTGAAGCCTACTTTCTCACATATAATCTGGGAGCACAATTCCGAAAGATTGTTTTCTTTGTGATGGTTTTTGTGATGAAACATGAACAATTTTACTAAAATTGCCGAATTGCTGTTTAATTTAAAACAACATTTACAAAATCTGCAATACTGTATTAAATCGGGAGTGTCATTGACAGTTTAATTCGCAATATTGTTTGATTGACGTGCAAGCGAATATATTTCCTTTGGGCCAGGGTTTTCCCCAATTGCAGCTGAATTTTTATTGGTCAATTTTAGAAAGCCATTAATTAGGTTGTAATTGGGGCGTGTAGTCATGAAAGGTGGGCTTTCCTGCAGGCCCTCAATCCTCCCCTGTGCCCACCAAAATCCTGCCCGCTGCAAATCAGGCCTCCCATAAAATTGAGGGCTTGCCACGCAGGCTAGAGCTGCTCCCAATTAATTGATTGATTAACCAACCCATTGAGATTTGAGTGGCAGCACTCTCCCCCTGACGAGTAAAATCATCTGGCATTAGACAGTCAGAGTAAAATAATAAAATAGGGCGCATTATCACAAAAAAGGTTAACAGGGTGCATGCCTGGGCAGATAGTCTGATTAACCCAT